TTTTTTTTTTTTTTTTTAGTTTGAGACAAACTAAGTTGTTGAGTTGGCAAGCTGAGTTTCAACTTGCAATCCTCCTGCCTCAGCCTCCCAAAGTACTAGGATAATAGGCCTGTGCCATCACATCTGGCTTAGAGAATTTTGCTTTTGACCATTACTGTGGCTACTGCTCCCACGCCTTCCCACTCTCCTGGAGGTTGGACCCAAGAGGCTTCCTGCCTAAGCCATGAACTTGGCCAGGGACCTCTCAGCTGAGCTGAGCCAGATGAAGTCCAGACCTTCCTGCCTGGCCTGACCTGACCTCTGGGGGTCCCTTTGGAGCTTTGGTGTCTGTTGGGCCAGCAGACTCTCTGAGAAATATCCAGCCTATCGTAGGGGTTCTCAGCTTGTCAGCTCTAGGGGCCAAGGGAAAGAGACAGCTCCTGCCTGCTCAGGAATACACTCGCCTGGGCAGATGAGCCCATCACATTTTCTCAGATCAGCTCTGTAGAGGGAAGACATTGGGAGGGGTAGCCTCAGTCAGCCTCCAGAGGTCCCCTGACACCAACCCCTTGGCGCTGTCGGGCCTGCTCCCTCCTGTCTGCTTAAGCCAGGGCTCCCAGGAAGAGCAGTGGAGATCTGCTTCTTGCAGGGAAGCTCCAGGAGCGTCTCAACTTTGGAAAACAAACACACAGCCTTCTGTGTGTCCACCTCCCATGGCGCTGGGCTCAAGGGCAGTGAGGGTCCCAGAGGCAAGTGCCTGGGAAACCCTGGGGGAGGATTGTATATAACTAGGACAGTGAGGACTCCCTGAGGACGTGACATTTGACAGGGGGCTTTGGGATGCGAAGGATTGGGACATGGAGCTAGGTAATGGAGCTGGGAGGAACCAGCCTGGGTGAAAGACAAGGGTGACAGCATGCTGTCATGGACAAGGAGCAGGGCCACGTCTGATTTGACAGCCTGAGAGCTGTTTGAAGGGATCCATGTGTCAGGAGATGAGGCTGAAATTTTGATGGGGCTCTGAGTTGAAAGGTCTTAAACGTCTGCCTGAGGCATCTGATTTCTGTCCCCCGCACATAAGGAGCCACTGAGGGTTTGGGGTAGGGAAGGACTTGATTGGTGCTCAGAGTAGTTGACAGGTCAGTAGTGGATAGGAGTGTGGTGGCCAGGATGATGGGGGTGGGGGCAATGACAGCAGGAAGCTGCTTCATAATCCAGGAGAGGTCACCTGGGGTCACAGGACAAAGGCAAGACAGAGGTGTAACACGTGTAGAGCTCAGCACTTAGTGCCACATGTTGTCATGTGGTTGCATTGAGCCATCTGAGGACAAGGCTTGAGTGAGTATTGCTCATCTCTGTGTCCCCTACCCAGCTCTGAGCCCCAGAAGCCCTGTCCAGGGATTTTCCTCTTTACTGAACAAATGAACGAATGAAGCAAGTAAGCGATGGTCCTTGTGTGCTCTGGGAAGTCCCTCCATGCCTGCTGGGAAGGTCTGGCTCCAGGCGCTCCCTGGCTGCTGGCTGGGCCACCATTTCTCTGGGGCCAATATTGGGGCTCAGCACCCCTTTCTTCAGCCTTCCCAGCCCTCTAGGACCAAGAGCTACACACAGGTTTCAGAGCAAAGCTCAGGGCTACTATGAAACTTTTTGTCTCCTCTATTCCTGACATCGTGGTCAGAGAAGAAAAGCTCAGGAGAGATGAAAGGGAAGGGCTCTTCCCCCTGTGAGGACAGTCCCTGCTGAGGGAGAGATAAGGCACTCTGCAGGGGAAATACTTCATCCCTGTTCACAGAAGAGGATCTAGAGGCTCAGAGTGGCACAAGGTGACGTAGCTAGTGAGGGCTGGGGTCAAGATCCTAGCCCGAGTCTGCTGCGCTTACTCTTGAGATTCTGAGCCTGATATCTGAGCCCTCTCCTTAGCCATGGTGACAAAGGGCCCTAGAGCTTAAGGTAGTTAGTTTTTCCCTGGTTTATAAGAAAATGGCATCCTTAGAACTGTTTGGTCCCAGTGATGGAAACTTATTTGTAACTTGCTTTAAAGAGTGAAATAGCCACTTCTTGACTTCCAAACTGGGCAAAGAAGAACTGACGATGCCGCCCCAGGCCTCGCCCTGATCCCGGTGACATAAAGCATTCATTCTCATGATGCATCGCCCAGCTCTGGGGCAGCTCTTCTGCACTGGCCTCCATTAGACAAGTCCCAGGCATGAATTCTGATTGGCCCACTAGGACCAGTCCCTAGAAGCCAAACTTGGGCTCCGGCAGTAGGAACCAGGAAGGTGTGTGCGTGCACACCTGACACTGGTGTGGGGGGGGTGGGGAGAGAGAGAGGGAGGGACAGAGGGAGAGAGAGAGAGAGAGACTCTGACCAGGTAGAAGCAGCCCTTGGAAATGCATAGTCTGGAGCATTTCCCAGGATGAATTTTTCACCCCCACTACGAAACACAAAGCAAACAGATCCCTGTTTTTTGGGACCTCTGTGCTGCAAGTGGGGGTTTGGGATCTAGTACAGGATCAAGGCCCAGGTGACATGTGGCATCCAGCCTGGGAGAAGCAACATTATTGTAAACTCTTTGATCTTTTCTCCTATAGCTTAGGTCACATCTGCAAGACCAGGCTTCACTTCCTAGCTAGGTGCTTAGCTTCTGAGTTAGTTACAAGTGACAGGAACACAATGCAGACTGGCTGAAGGTGGTGGTGGTGGTGAGGATTAATTCCTATAACCAGGAAACACAGAAGCTTCAGGTCCTGTTGGAACCAAATGCTAAATATGAACTGGGACATGCCTTGCTTACATCCTGGTTCTGTTCTCTCATTATTGGCTTTAGTCTTGAGCAGGCTCTCTTGTGGTGATGGCAGATATGTACCAGGCTTACATCCAGCCACATTAGAGATCTAGGGAGAGAGGAAGGAAAGAGGCAGATAGACAGACAGACATTTTTCCACTAGCTCAGCAAGAGACCCAGGGTGGGCTCTTCTTAGCCTAGCTTGGTGTCTGATGAACGGTGGCCAGGCTTTGGTCACACCTGGAGCCCAGAGGCAGAGAGTGGAAGAAGGTGGTTTCTTAGAGGTAGAGAGGCAGAGGAAGGGATGCTGGGAAAGCCAAGCAGCAGGTGCCCCTAGAGCCCCTGCCCCTTTTCCTAGCCCAGCCCTGGGAGTATCTCCTGGCTTCCTGTGTCTTCCTATCCTGGAAGAACACACCTGGTACCTATCTTATTTCTTAATTGTCCTGGAACTGTCCATTTCTAAATCCTGATGTCTAAGAGGGAGCCCAGTGGCCTTTGTGTTACAGAGGGCCCCACCACGCCCCAGAGGGGAGCAGGGAGTTCCTGGACACCTCACCTCCTTTGTTGGCTGTACACAGAGTTCAGTGGCAAATGCTTCTCCCCCAAACACAAAAAGCACCTCTAATCACGATGCTCACTGGGAAAAAATGAAAAACAGTGCTCACTGGGAACTGTAGCCATGGCAGCAAAGACTGAGATTCTGTGTTCAGCAAAAAGGGAAGTAGCCAGTGAGACAGGTTTATCATTAGCCAGCCTCAGTATTTCACAGTCAAACAAACACTGGCAATTTTCTGGCCCTGGGGGGCCATCCTGTGGAGG